CTGTTTGATCTTGAGGAAGGTATCGATGCAAGGTCTGAATAAATCCTGACTGCTCTCTGGAAAATGCCACACTTCATGTATTTGCTCTAAGGTATATCCCATGTCCAGGGCTTTATGTAATTCGGTCGTCACCAAGGTGCCCGTGAGACTGCGTTCCTGGTCTGTGTGTTGACATCGATGTTGAGAAGTAGAGTCCTATCGTTCGGCACACGTTCGACATAAGGGAAATAATAACTTGCCCCCCATGCGATAAGGTAATACGGGGTGATAGAGGCCTCGGGGAGGTAAGACCCGACAGTGAATGAGACCAAAATAACTTCTCACCTCCTGGAACTCGTCTGTGATGATCTCAGGATGCCCCAGAGGAAAAGGTCTGTGTTTTAACACGTAAGGGTATAAGGAACAGACGTCCACATATCTCATGTCCCCTTCCTCACAATATAATCGCCTGTCATTGGTCCGGCCTCTGTACAGGACTTCTCGGGGGTTCAAAGGATCCGGAATGTCCAGGTCTCGTACAAAATGCTGTAAACTCACATCTCTTTGCACTTGCTGATCGAAATCGTGCTCTTAGTTGACCCGCCTAGCCCCACCCAGGGGCTGTACTTAGTTGAACCGCCTAGCCCCACCCAGGGGCTGTACGTAATTTACCCGCCTAGCCCCCCAGGGCCAAAAGTGCACTCGTTTGACCCGCCTACCCCAATCAGAATCCAGCATTTTTGACCTCATTTGCATAAAAAGTGCACTCAGTTGACCCGCCTATCTAGGCCCCTAATACCTCTTATGTAAAATTACTGAAATGTAATTGAATAGTTATTGAAATAACATGATATATTCAAAATAATGAAATAGCAATTACGATTGGTAAAGTAGTACATGTAGTAGTTTATTTATTATAATAGTGACATGTGTTTTTTATATACACTTAACAAAACTTGTAAGTGTTCAGTCTCTCAAATGCATTTATACTCAACAAAAAAAACAAACGCATATTGTTTAACTCATCAAAAAAATTTTTGAAAAATTATATGAAATAACCTTTTTTTATCACTGGATACCTGTGACCTATTTAAAGTACATCATGGGCTTTTAAACCCCAGTTGTTGAATTATTTTCCTTGATTAATCATGTTTATGAATATAGTGTTTTGCATGATTTTTTTTGCAAATCGGGGGTCTATTTTCAATGAAATTTTGGATTTAGAGAAACAAGAAACACTCCTATTAAAGCCTCATTTTTGCTTTGATTGCAATGTTAATGCCGCAATGCCACGCCTCAAAAAGAACAACGCAACAAGGCTCTAACAATAATACTATCCGGAGCTACGCAACTGGAAGTTGCAGCTGCATCTAGTGTACATCAATCGGTTTTGCAGCAGTTAAACGCACGTCCCCATCAGCTAGTAACACGAATGACAGACCAAGAACTGGCCGTCCGCGGGTTACCACACCCAGACAGGACCGTCAGATCCTCCTTTAGTACATGCACAATTGTCAAAACTACATTATAGAAGGGTATGATATTTTCAAATTATTATAACCAATAAGTCTACTCAAAAATTGCGGAAAGAAAATTAATTATCGCCGATGAAAACCAGTGTACCGTGACAATAAATCTACTTTTCGGCACGTGTTTTGTTTAATCAGCATTTTTGTGACCATTATCAGTTTTTAAAAACTGGTTTGGCTAAAAACCACAAAACATTGGCAAAATGACCATTGAGAAAGGAGGGAGAGCCGCTGGAATGTTGATTCTTGATCATCCTTGCATCACGTTTTACTCACTTTTATTTTAGTGTTTAATGAAACACATTTTTCTATAGGTCGTGTGCCATTTTCATCGCCTACTTATCACAATTTGAAAGCTTTTGACAAAGTTTAACCAAACCGGAAGTGATCTGGATCTTCGTCTGAGCCCAAGAATTCGCGTCACAACCAAGTTAAAAGATAGTTACATGGTCCTGAAACAATTTTAGAAGCATTAAAACTAACAACTTCAATGGTAAGAAGATAAGAAATTGGTACTCATGGCAGTCTAATACCATCTCAAACAGTCTGAATCATCCCTAAAGTAGTTCACTTACGTGCTAAACGCACAAAGATAGTGACCAAAAACAATCTGCGTGATGATGTACTGCAAAATTCCCAGATCTGAATACAAATGAACACATTTTTGGATTTTCATAAGGAATGCCAAAGACCCCCCCCCTTTCACACAATATCAACGGCTTAGATAGAAAGATCCATGCAGTAGGTGTGGCAGCAGGTGGGTCAATCTCCTATTCAGGGTACATGGTATCCAAGAGAGAAGGATGCGTCATTAGAGCGAGTGTTGGTCTCACTCCATGGAGATTATTTTATGTGAATTTTCATTTTGAGGGTACATTATGTACTTGACACTTTGCTTTAAAGTCTGACGAGATACTAACATGAAATTTACGCAACATCGAACTGAAATATGCATCATTAACCATGAATTAAAGAAACTATTTATTGTTTGCATTTGTTCTTCAAAACTTAAAAAAATGTATGGTGAACACTTAGACGTTTGGTTCAGTGTATATAGTCAACAATCATTTGATCAGAATTGGTTCGTATCATGCAGACTCTAACACACGGCCCTTTGGACCTATAAATCACATAGTAAAAACACATTTAACGTACGTCACGTGATTTCAAATTATACAATATCTATATATTCAATGGACTGTTTTGTCATCAGAAATATATCATTGATATCTTTAAGATTTAATTTGTGGCATACAAATGTAGACATTGAAATGTGTTCATGGGCGTCGGAAGCAAATTGAAAGGGGGCTAATAGAAAGTGTGTGTGTGTGTGTGTGTGTGGGAAGGGGGGGGGGGGCTAAACCAACAGAAAAAGGTAAACCCCAACTTTCAATGCCTATATAATGTCTATCTTTGCAAAAAAGTTGGGTGATGCTAAGCCCCCCCCCCCCCCCCGGTTCCGACGCCTATGGTGTTTATACGAAAAAATACTTTTCAACTAATCAGTCAGTATCTCAATGAATTAGCCTAATGCATCAAGCGAGGGAATCTGGTTGGGATGGATGATCTACAGCTTGCGTAACATGATGTAGTTTGGGTTTAGTGAATGTATGACATATTAGAGACAGATTTGTTAAAATATAGTCACATCCTACATTGTAACTAAGATTTATAGTATACATCCTTTATCATTATTATTAGTTTGATATCTAAACAAATTAAAGATACTAAAAAAAAAACTTGCCAAAAATTAAAAAAAAAATTAAATCTTATAAACCGATTGCAGAATCAGGGACATCAGGAATTTAAACTACACTTTTGGACAAAAACTTAAATTAGGCAAATTTCTATTATTATTTTTTTAAAAAGTGTAAAAACAATCAAGCGTTTTATCATATTCAACTCATCTATCAATTATCATAGCGTCACAGTTTTAAATTGAACTTCACAGACAGTCCTCGTATATCTAAAAAAAAAAAAATTACAGAAATGAATAAAATACTCACCAACCCAATATATTAATATCACAATCAAAAACATTTTGAAATTATACGTCAACCCTTATATTTTTTCGTCGATTACATCTCAGCAACAACTGATCCTGCTATTTCTAACTACATAAAATATTAAAAGAAGAAGCGTTCAATTTTCCCCCAGATCAAATCAATATGTAAAATTCTCGCTACTATGGAATCTATGTTTTAGTGAAGATGTACATGTTTGACCACTTTTAAAAGCTCAAAATCACATTAAAAACTAAAATTTCACGAAATGTAAGCACGAGCTCTTAATCAGTCTCGATCATCGTCATATCTAATTCACTTTTAGACCATAAAAAAATCGGAATTTACTGTTAGTAGTTTCTAATTCTTTGAATTGATCACAAATTATTCTGCATGAGATTTTAACATCTGTTGGCTTGCTTACGAAGCTATCTTAGGACTAAGACACATCTATAAAGGAATATGAGTACACTTATGTCCTAAATTCACCAGTTCAAACGAATTTAACATAAATTATTTATAAATAAAACTCAAAAACACTTTATATAGGATGAGCTCGCATGCACGAGTGCAACAGACTTCGACGATAAAGAAAAGCATTGAAATAATTTTGTTAAAACGTATATGACCCCACCCAAGGTATCAAAACTTCAAGGTAATCCGATTATGACGTTTTATTTTTTTCTTATCAGGCCTTGAATAATTAAAAAAATTTACAAAAAATTCTCTGAATTCTCATACTGATGCGTATTTACCTACAGTCAATCTTCAAACATCATAATGAAAAGTTAATGATATCATATAGGAAAATAAATATATAATAACTTTGCAGGAATGCAAATGAATTCACCTACACCACGCGTTTAAATCCAAATTTTTTCAACAATTATATTTTATGAATTATAGGTTTTCAAGCATTTGATAAAAACTGCATCATTTTTATACTTAGATTCTGAGATAATTCAATTTCTTCTATTTACTGCACATTTTATTATTATGCATAGTTTATAAAACATTTGCTTTGAATGCAAAACTTCATAAATCACTTATTAATTCATATCAAACTTTTAAATATTGGAATCTAAAGCTAGATCAAGAAAATTTCTATAAATATATGTTTCAAAGAACTTTCAATTACATTAAGGTTCATAAACCCTCTGCTCACTCATATAAAATGTTGCTTGAACCTTAATGAAATGTGTTTTAGAAGAAAAATACAAGCAATTATAGCGAAGCTTGCGCGCAGGGCAAAATTGGACAATAAAGACACTTCAACTTGGCACATCTATAAAGGAATATTTAAGAAATAAAGTCCGCGTTTTCGTGAATGTTGCAGGATAACCTCCGAAATGTTGTTTGAAAGATAAAAGCCGAGGCTTTTATTTTTCAAACAACATTTGAAGAGACCGAGGAGATTATCCTGCATCATTCACGACAACAAGAACTTTATTTCCATTCTACCATGTCTACTAAATTCTCTTACAATGCAGCGCATTGAAGTGGTAAAATTTTCCGTTTGGATGAAATGTTCTGAGTCATGTTTGGAACGTCAATTATAACATAATGACACGAACATATTTTTAGAAAAGAGAAAGAAATATTCGTCGTAATGTTTTAGGACACCCCATTCTTCGCGACAAGCAATATATGTGACACTGAAATGAAGCTTAAAAAAAATTAGAACAGAGAGTAAGAGACTCTCCGCTTCTGTAAAACTCAAATTGCAATTGAACTTATAATGTCTGTTTAAGTTACCACAACACATGTTTCGGTCGAACACGTGTTTACTCGGTGTTTATTTAGACCTTCAATTTCATTGGCTATTATATTTATGGAAAACCTGTTCTACAGGTATTCGAATAAACAAATTGACCGTTTTATCCATTTCTAAAGAAATGGGCGTGTCTTTGGATGACAATAAACATTTTAAAGATAGCTCAAAACGTTCCATTCGAACGGAAAATTTTACCACTTCAATGCGCTTCATTGTAAATACGGCTCTTATAGAGAAACGAATTATGTCAACATGTCTCGATTACGCTGTTCCATTTAACACCAGAGGGAATATTTGTTTGCTTACCTATGTATGGAATGCAGACGATTTGAGCTTTCGTTGCATTAAAAATAGCTTTTTAAATTACAATTCGTTCGTTATATGTATTTATTAGTTTTAATGAATATACAATGGCAAAATCATGTTCCTGTTGTACTGTTCTATTGGGACTAAAATCATATGTATAAATGTGTAGGGAGGTCCGTGGAATAGCCCCGCGTAGCTATAAAAACCGGCAATCATCAGCAATTGATGCAATTTACAGTGTTTATCGATGTGGTCTAAAACAAGTATTTCATGCTACAGCCAAACATGCATTTGAATTGTTCAGGTTTGATACGTGTTTCTGATCTGATAATTTTTTGATTATGTTCGTGATTTATTGGAGAATAATGTCCGCGGCTTTTCTTTGATGTCGCTAATAATTGTTTTAGAATAGACATTTATGTCACTCAGAGTTATCTCTCTTATCAGAGTATCAATGAACCTTGAGAACATGAAATGCAAATTGTTGTATATAAAGATTTCAATTTCAAGCTTGTATCAGGTAACAACTTTCCAACAATTGAATTAGTTTTGTGTTGACAATGAAGGCGATGAAATTCAAAATTTTGAAAGAGACACTATTGCTCATCATAACTATACAATTAGCTTGCTTACTTTGTTTACTTAATACCCAGAGGTAGATCAGAGTAGCAAAGAGAAAATGCATTTCCACTTTATAACCAGTTGTGCACCCTTCCCCACAGGAACCACAGACCCTGGGCGCACATATATCAAAAATCTGGCAATTTTATCATAAATTTCATTTCATCATATTAAATGGATGATTGATTACAAAACGCAGATCCAAAGCAGTAATTTATTTTCAGACTATGTAACCTCCACTCCCATCCCAAGTACCCTGACCCAAGGGCCCTGAAAGTAACCATTTTGGAAGAGACGCCTTTCATCATCATTAATATGTACTTACAACATTGGCATAATACCCAGGAGCAAAGGAAAAGGTTTTCGAAAGAATTCGTGCATTTTCACTATATAATCATTACAACCCCGCCTAACACCAAAATCCCTAGAGCCCTGGGGCCCTGAAATTCACAAATCTGGAAGAGGCATCCTTTCTCATCATAACTTTGTACATAGTTCATTTGTTAAATAGTCACCTCGAAGTTTGCTCAGGTGATTACTAAAAGCCACGGAGTCTGACACTTCTGTTTTTTATGGATATATATTTCACTAGACAAAGACAGAAATTGTAATCTAACAACAAACTTTTATGATAAACTTCATGACTTCTATTTAGTTATCGTCAACTTCCCTTATGTGTGTCGTAACATACCCATATCACCTGCATTTAGGGTTAAAAATGTTTTCTCGCTAGAAGCTAGAAAATCAACCTCACTATCTGCTCTTTAAATAAAATGATACCCTAAAAATAACAGGAGCTTCACCTTAAAACAACAGCTTTTGGCATATAGCTACTGAACTGCATTAACTATTTTTCTCTATGGGAAGTAACATTATATGAAGTCCACCATGCTATTGTGGAAAAGTAGAAGACACACATCATTCATAGGCGTCGGAAGCAAATTGAAACTGGTGGGGGGGGGGGGTTAATTTGAAAGTGGGAGGCTAACCCTACAAAAAAAGGTAAACTCCAATTTTCAATGCCTATATTATGTATATAATTGCAAAAATGGGGCGCTTAAGCCCCCCCCCCCCCCCCCCCCGCCCGGTTCCGACGCCTATGTCATTTTTTTCTTGTTCTTGTTCTAATTATACTAAGGCCAGGGAAGTTTTTTTCGATAAATTATATAGATTTGATAAGGTTCATAGCGTTGAAACCCATACTTAACTGTGTAGAGATACTTCACTAAATGATTCTGAAGGTCTTACAATAAAGCGCATTGAAGTGGTAAAATTTTCCGTTTGGATGGAACATTTTGAGCCATCTTTAGATATGCCCATTTCTTTAGAAAGGAAATCTGGTCAAATGATTCACTCAATACCTGTAAAAACAGGTATTCCATAAATATAATAGCCAATCAAATGGACGGTCTACATAAACACCGAAAGTTTAAAACTTTTTAAATATGTTTTATACAAGATGGTGAAGTCAAACAAACTGTAAAAAACATGATACAGGTACTGTGGTTTCAATCAGGTTTTGTGCATATATTATCAAGAACATATGTCCTTTGTCCCCTTAAGTTATGTCCAAATTTTGTAGACATGGAAAGATTTAATTAACGAGTAAGTAATTGCACGAGGCTATGTGTAGATTGTATGAGAGATATCTTTAAGAAACTCAGCATGTTAGGTTTTTGGCTCTCTGATGTGTTCCTTGATGACAGGACGTTGATTTTAGAATTTTAATTTTTTTTCTAAATCTTGAATGAAATTACATACATCAACAAAAGGAATATTTTATTTATGATAACGTGCTAATTTTGTATCCTTGACTATAATATGACAAAGATCTATGTCTGCAAACTTTTCCAACACGTCTTCTAAGACAAAAGTAACTTAGCATTATCTTTGAATGATGGATATTGAGATAACGACTAATATTCAATATCAACGTCCATTAATATTATTTTTACTGATTTTCGAAAGGGCAAGTGTAATTAGAGTTTATAGTTTAAGTAATCGTGTTACTTTAAGAGGGGTACTCTAATTAGCTTTTGTTGGGGGGGGGCGAGTCCACTAAATTAACTAACATCGCTGAAAAACTTGCACATCATGCAATTAAATCTAGTTCTAGCCTAGCTCGTTGATGAAATAAAATTTCAGCCATATACATATATCATACATGTACATGCTAAATCTAAAACATTAACAGTATCTATTAATTTTTAGATCGTCATGTTAAGAATCGTAATTTTAAGAATATGCACCTTTTTATGTGGTTCTGGGACATCATTTCCAATGCATCCATCTTCTAATAAAGGATGTAGAGCCTGAAGAAAACAAAAACATCATTGATATTTATAATCAATCTGAATCTTTTATTGTGTTTTTGTCGATATACACAGGATTAAGATATTTACCTTCAGGGGCATTTTTGGAGAATCCTCGGCAAGTCCAACTTCATCAAGTACAACAACCGATGCAAATTTGTCTAGATTTTTATCTTTTTGATACAGAGCACACTGACGAAATGTTGCAACTATGCCCTCAGAAACCGATAAAGGACTGCATTGGAACGATACCATTTGAACCTGTAGTATATAGTTCATATCGAAGAAATATATGGAAAAATCACAAAAATAATGCAAATTCATTTCATATAATACTCGTTATTGTTTGTCTTTTAGCATATGAATATTTTCCTTGTAAGAGTATCAATTGAATTTCAAACCTCTTTCAGTTGTTTAAAGAAGTCTGAGTGCGAGGATCGGCCTTGCATGGCATTAGCAACAATTGTTTTTGCAAGAGACTTTGAGCTACCGGGTTTTCCAATCAAAAACAATGGAATTCGCAGTTCAATACACACTGTCATCATAAACACATTTTCCATCAATGCCTGGTTTTTTGCTATATTTTCTCCAAGTTCTACTTTTCGTAAGAAAAATTTTTGACACCTGAAATTATGAACGTTCATAGATACTTAAATTCATATAATTTTGCTATAAATATACTTGGGTACAGTAAAACGTAAAATCCGTCTTCAGGTGTACATACTTTGAGTTTAAGATATGTACACCTGAAGATAAATTTTGAAATTCAGAAAGGGCATGTATTAAATGTACATGTATTTTAGCATATATTATCTATTTTTATTCAATGTTTACAATTACATTTTAAATTTTGCGTTTGCGAGTAAAGAGCAGTCCGTTGGAAATTTATTTCCTAACTTCATGTTTTCAATGCAATGACTATTACTATTTATTTTAAATTAAAATACATAAATACTCAAAACAAATTAGTCATATGCACTGTAGAAGACGTATTGCATGCTGAACACAAGCGATAGATTAAAAATTATTTGAATTAATTTCAGTTAGATATTTTATTGATGTACATGTATATTGGACACTGAAAATCTTAGAAAGTATTAAAATATTTCTTTCTCCATATACGAGTCTGCAATAACATATATAGTTTGACACTGCACCAATCAGTCGAATGAATATTCACTATTGCTTATCTTTCATTTGCCTGAATGGCTTAGTTACATCCTTACAGAAAAACAAGAGGCCCACGGGCCTTAAAGGTCACCTGAGTATTGTGTAACAACTTTCAAACATTTAAATTTGATTCGTCTTTTAAACCAGAGGTCATGAAATTCACAATTCACAATTTTGAAAAAGCCAAATGGTGCATTGCTTATCATAATTATAAACTTAGCATGCTTACTCTATTTACCTAATACCCAGAGGTAGATCAGAGTAACAAAGAGAAAATGCACTTCCACTTTATAACAAGTTGTTCCCCTCAACCCAAAGGAACCACTAACCCTAGAACCACATATTTCAAAATTTTGCAAATTTTATCATAAAGTGGTTGATTAATACCAAAGAGTAGATTTCAAAGCATTAATTTATTTTCAGACTATGTATCCCCCCGACCCAGGGGGGGGGGGGCATAAAAAAATAACCATTTTGCTAGATGCACCTTTCTTCATCATAAATATATATACTTGGATCATTTGCATAAATCCCACGAGCAAAGGGAAAGATTTTCAAAGAATTAATGCATTTTCACTTTATAATCAATAGAGCCCCGCCCTAACACTAGAACCCCTGACCCTGGGGCCATAAAATTCAAAATTTAAGAAGAGACACTCTTGCTTATCATAACTATGCACTTAATTTATTTAATACCCAGAAGCAAAGAAGAAGATTTTCAAAGAAAAAATGCATTTTCACTATATAATCAATAGAGCCAAGCCCTTACACCAAAACCCCTGATCCTGGGGCCATAAAATTGACAATTTGGAAGAGGCACTCTTGCTCATCATAACTATGTACTTAGTTTATTTAATACCCAGAAGCAGAGAAGAACATTTTGAAAGAATTAATGCATTTTCAATGTATGATCAATAGAGCCCAATCCTAACACCAGAACCCCTGATTCTAGGGCCATTAAATTCACAATTTAGGAAGAGGCACTCTTGCTCATCATAACTATGTACTTAGTTAGTTAATTTGATAAACAGAAGTAGAGAAGAAGATTTTAAAGAATAAATGCATTTTCGCTATATAATCAACAGAGCCCCGCCCTAACACCAGAACCCCTGACCCTGGGGCCATAAAATTAACAATTCTGAGAGAGGCACAGAGGCACTGTTGCTCATCATAACTATATACTTAGCTAGTTTACTTAATACCTAGGAGCACAGAACAAGATTTTCAAAGAAATAATGCATTTTCACTATAAAAGTCATAGAGCCCCACCTTAGTACTAGAAGCCCTGACCCTGGGGCCATGAATTTCACAATTTTGGTAGAGGACTCAATGTTCATTTCATTCATGCAAACAGTTTGCCTGCTTAATGTCCAGGAGTAAAGAAGAAGACTTTTTAAAGATTGCAATAATTTTAGTGGTTTTGGCCATACCCCTCGAGCCCCAGGGGAGCGGAGACCATAAAATTCACAATTTTTGATCCCCTTTATCCATAGATGCAGCATATTAAATTTGCTTGAAATTGGTTCAGTGGTTTCAGAGAAGAAGCTGAAAATTTTCAAATGTTAACACACGACGCACAACGCACGACGACGGACGGAAACGGATAGCAATAGGACACCTTAGTTACTCAGGTGACCTAAAAATATCTGCACTTTCATCCAACGACCTTCAAATACAACTACGAGTACATCTTTGCATAGATGTTAATTAAATCTCCCAAAGTCGCCCCTACTAATGTGTTCGGAATCTTTTATTTTTCGGAGTTCTGCAAATTAAAAAACCCGATGAGTTCAGAGTAGCTCTGACAGTGGCTCAGGCGAGAGTTAGCGAGAATACAGCGACATAGGGTAAATTATTCACGGAATAATTATCATAATGTGGCTAGGAAGTGATTAGCACGTGGAGACATGGACACCGACAAGTTATGCTGCGTTTTAGTTTACTCAGCCCCGGCGTTAGAAAGTAAAAAAAAAGTGGAAAGTAGGAAGGGGGGTCATATCCTACGTGCCTGTGGTTATTTACAAGAGGTCAATGCCGCTCAAAAATGTATATAATTTAGTTTATGTTTCATTAGTATTACCCCGGTAGCGCTTTAGCAGTTTTTTATTTGTTGATCAACCTGTAGATAGATTTGTCCGAGATTAGCACATACCGTTTCATAATTGAGTTCGACTTTCCATCGGAGCAGAGTTTTGACGCTGTTTGCGGAGATAAATGAAAAAAAAGACATGCATGCCATATATGGTTGTGTAGATAAATTATCGTAGAAGACAATGGTAATAGTTTGTTAGTGCATCTCCACTGAAAGTGTACACTAAAAAGAGTGCATTTCTGAGGAGGGAGTATCAAGTGTAATTCGGAGTTAGATAACCTGTTTTATAATTATACATATTTAATACATGTATTTAATATTTATAAATCATACATGATACAAGGGTTAAAATTTTTTCCGAAACAAGTACATGTGCTCTCAGAATAGACCCGATAAGATGCGATTGATAACACTTAATGAAACGCTTTCTAACACCTTCAGTGATGGTCATTCGAATCAAAATGAGCTTTCATTATTTTTATAACTTCAGCATGTTCTATGTATACTGTTACACCACACTACCAATTTCAACAAAAGTTATAGCTAGATAATGTACTGAGTTTTTCCCTTTGTCACCGTGACGTCACAATCAGATGTGCACAAGAAAGTCGCCCAAATCATATAAATTGCGTACCCAGTTTTAATGACGTCAGCAAACCTGCGACCTACGTTAAATTATAAGTATAAGTAAATTTTCTGTTGTGTTTAATTAAAATTTCTTTCTGGACAAATATTTTTGCATGGGAACCGGGACTATATTTTTGCGTCAGATTAGCATATGAGGCACCAATGTGATTTTAACTGACAAATCAGCTGAATGAGAATTGCATTATGGGTTACTACGAATACTACATGAATTTTACGCTTGATAAATTCCTTTATTGTACTTTCAGTGAATACAATTGTCAGGTGGATTCCCTGGCCAAAACACGGGATCGCGAGTATAGTTATGTAAAAAATGTTCTGTCCATTTAAATGCATACTAGAAGCTGCTCGTTTTCCTAACCCTTGAAGTGCTGGTGTTCCGAACTTGACACTAACTAGGTTTAAATTTTATTAAACATATTTTTTCTAGTTAACGACAAATTAAAAACACACTGACATCTTTCATAGTTTCTAATCTTTGCATTTTTCTCAAAAAAAAAACATTTTTGACATGACCATAGATTGAACTGAACCACGTGTTCGAAGTAAAATGTAAACATGTATTGGCGTAAATACATGTTCGAAGTAAAATGTAAACATGTATTGGCGTAAAGGTATTCAATCAACAATTGGTCAGTTGCTTGTGGTTAGATCATCTGTGCGCATTAATAACAATAGCCATATAAGGCAAACAAAGGTTTTCAGTGTGGATGATATTACACATTATTTTTTTTACCAGTGTATCGGTCGCTAGAGATCTCCAATTTTTGCCGCACACTATGATAAGATATATTGTTATTTACCCTTCCTTTTGCCACTCTTTTCTGTTGAAAATCATGAAAGTCTCAAAAAGGTCTGGAAACACATTTTTCACAGGACATGTTTTCAAAAGAAACAGACTATAGCGATAAATGCATAAGAGATGCTGCTCGTTTTCCTTACCTTTAAGAGCTGGTGCTTAAAACTAGACAAAAACTACATTTTTTAGCCCTACTGGTCAGAGACCAGAAGAGCTTATGCGATAGTAATGCGTCCGGCGTCCGTCCGTCCGTCTGTCTAGCTGTCCGTCTGTCTGTAAATTTTTTTTCAAAATGCTACTTCTCCTACAGTTTTGGTCTGATTTCAATATAACTTGGCACACAAGTAGACTACACTAAGATACATAATTCTGTACGTGTATCGGTTTTTGATTTCGATGAACGGTGTTGCCGTGGTTACTAAAAATAGAAATTTCTGTGAAATACTTTAAAAATGCTACTCCTCCTACACTTTTGGTCTGATTTCAATATAACTTGGCACACAAGTAGATTACGCTAAGATACATAATTCTGTGTATCAGTTTTTGATTTCGATGTAAGGTGTTGCCGTGGTTACTAAAAATAGAAATTTCTGTGAAATACTTTAAAAATGCTACTCCTCCTACACTTTTGGTCTGATTTCAATATAACTTGGCACACAAGTAGATTACCCTAAGATACATAATTCTGTTTATCGGTTTTTAATTTCGATGAACGGTGTTGCCATGGTTACTAAAAATAGAAATTTCTGTGAAATTACTTTAAAAATGCTACTCCTTCCACACTTTTGGTCTGATTTCAATATACTTTGGCACACAAGTAGACTACACAAAGATACATAGAATAGTGTATCGGTTTTTGATTTCGATGAACGGTGTTGCCATGGTTACTAAAAATAGAATTTTCTGTGAAATTCCTTTAAAACGCTACTCCTTCCACAGTTTTGGTCTGATTTCAATATAACTTGGCACACTAGTAGATTACACTAAGATACATAATTCTGTTTATCGGTTTTTGATTTCGATGAACGTTGTTGCCATGGTTACTAAAAATAGAAATTTCTGTGA